CTAAAAGCACAGAAACAATAATAGAAATTGACAAATAGGATTCCATCAAACTAAAAAGCTTCTGCACAGCAATAGAAACAATCAATACAGTGAAAGTGAACCTACAGAATGGGAGAAAATATTTGCAAAGCACATATCTCATAAAAAGTTAATATCCAAAATAAATGAACTTGTACAGTTCTATAGCAATAAACACAAATAGTCCAATTAAAAATGGACAAAAGATCTGAATAGACATTTCTCAAATGAAAACATGCAAATGGTTAACAGGCATATAACAAAGGCCAGCAGGTATATGTTCAATTTCATTAATCATCAGGGAAATGTAAATACAAACCACAGTGTGATTTCACCTCACACCTGTTAGAATGGCTATTACTAGAAAGACAAAGGATGAGACACATAGTAGAATATGTGGAGAGAAAAGCCTTGTACGCTATTGCTGGTAATATAAATCAGTATAGCCATCATGAAAAAATAGTATAAAGTTTCATCAAGAAAGTAAACATAGTAATCCCTGGATGGTGTGGTTCAGTGGACTGAGTGCCAGCCTGTGAACCAAAGGGTCACTGGTTCAATTCCCAGTCAGTGCATATGCCTAGATTGTGGCAGGTCCCCAGTAGGGGGTGTGTGAGAGGCAACTACACATTGATATTTCTCTCCCTCTCTTTATCTCTCCATTCCCCACTAAAAATAAATACATAAAATATTTTTAAAAAAATTAAACATAGTCTTTCGAAGGGAATAGACTTCCAGGAAGTCCAGGGAGCTCAGAGAGTCCCAAAGAATTTGGACCCAAGGAGGTACACACCAAGACACATCATAATTAAATTGCTGAAGATTAAAGATAAGGAGAGAATCTTAAAAGCAGCAAGAAAAAAGGAGACAGTTACCTACAAAGGAGTTCCCACAAGGCTATCAGCTGATTTCTCAAAAGAAAACTTACAGGCAAGAAGGGGCTGGAAAGAAGTATTCAGTCATGAAAAGCAAGGACCTGCATCCACGATTACTCTATCCAGCAAAACTATCATTTACAATGGAAGGGCAGATAAAGTGCTTCCTAGATAAGGTAAAGTTGAAGGAGTTCATCATCACCAAGTCCTTATTATATGAAATGTTAAAAGGACTCATCTAAGAAAAAGATCAAAACTGTGAACAGTAAAATGACAACAAATTCACAACTATCAGCAACTGAACCTAAAAAACGAAAACAAACTAAACAAGCAACTAGAAGAGGAACAGAATCACAGAAATAGAGATCACATGGAGGGTTATCAATGGGGAGGGGAGAGAACTGGGGAAAGGGTACAGGGAGTAAGAAGCATGATTGTTAGATACAAAATAGACAGGGGGAGGTTAAGAATAGTATAGGAAATGAAGAAGCCAAAGAGCCTATATGTAGGACCCATGGACATGAACTTGGTGGGGGGGGATGCTGGTGGAAGGTGGGTTCGGGGTGGAAGGGGATAAAGTGGAGAAAATGGGACAACTGTAACAGCATAATCAATAAAACATACTTTAAAAATTAAACATAGAACTACCATATAATCCAGCAATGTCATGGCTGGGTATATATCCAAAGGGAATAAAATGAGTATCTCTAAGAGATATAGGCACTCCCATGCTCACTACATCATTAGTCACAAAGCCAAGATATGGAAACAATGTAAGTGTCTGTTGATGGATGAATACATAAAGAAGATGGGATGTATTATTTAGCCTTTCAAAAGAAGGAAATCCTGCCATTTGTAATAACATGGATAAACCTAGAGGACATTAAGCTAAGTGAAATAGCCAGATTCAGAAATACAAATACTGGATGCCCTAACACCATATGTGGAACATAACAATGTCAAACTGTTTGAAACAGGTTGTTGAGTATTGGCTACCAGAGGCTGGGGCTGGAGTATGGGGACATACTGGTAAAGGGGTACAGAGTTTCAGTTTTGCAAGATAAATATATCATGGGAATCTAGTGTACAACAATGTGATTACAGTTAACAATATTGTACCATATACTTGAAATTTGCTAAAGGGTAGATCTTAGGCATTCTCACCACCAAAAAAGGTAACTATGTCAGGTGATAGATATGTTAATTATCTTGACTGTGGTGAGTGTTTCACAATGTATACATATATCACATCACCAAATTTTACATCTTAAATATATCCAATTTTAATGGTGAACTGTTAAGTCAATGAAGCTGTGGTAAAGAATAAATTAAGACAAAAAAATACTTAAGGGGGTGGCAGTGAGACTAGAATTGAAAGGACATTGATCATACCTACCATTTACTGAGTGTTAACTCTATGTCAGATACCATACAAGGTGTTTTTTCATTATTAACATTTCCACATAAGGAAATTAAGACAAAAATTTAAAGTAATTTTTTATTAATGAGTAGAAGAATGGGATATCAAATCCAGAGAGTGCAGTTTCACAATATATGTTCCTTGCAATTATGTCTACATCCTCAATAAAAGAACTACTTAATAAATGAAATAAAAGAACTTTAGAAACAAATAACCAAGGGCATAAGAGAATGTTAACAATCAATGATTAATTTTGAATCTGGGTGAATGGGTTGATGCCATTATTAAAAATGGGTACTTGACAATATATTTACACTTGATCTTAGCCAAAAGGCCAAGAAGCAATGATTGACAGTACATTTAATGGCAATTGCTGTATCTGTATTTCCTGCTTTGTATGACTGTCAGCTCAGAGGAGATGAGACAATCAATACAGTGAAAGTGAACCTCTTTATTGCATCCTAGAAGAAGGATCCAGATAAGCAGTAGCCTAATGGCTCTCTGCTGAGAGAATCCCTACCAGAGACAAGTACATCACTCTTTGGGACCCCTTGAAATGAATCCCAGTGCTTTGAGGGCACTGAAGCAGGCAGACCTGTAGCTACCTCAGTTCCAAAGAACCTGTGGAGTACCAGCATTAGAGAAAAGTATACCTAGGTTGCATACCAAGGGGTGATTCCAGGGGACTTTTCCCATGTAACTGTGTGATAATTAGCAAACACTGTATCTCTGTAAATAGAACCTCCATACACCCAGTCACCCAAAACAAAAATATGAGAATCAGTGTTCCCTCAATCATTAATACATTTCCTTCACTCCACATCTTAGCGAGACTTTCATCATTTTTTGTGTGGCCTCTTCAGTGGTCTTCCCTCTTCCATTCTTACATCTAAATGCTTCCACTACCAACCACTGCACTTAATATACCCTAGGAATGTTGGGATTCTATCAGTTATTAGAACAAAGCAAGCTTATTCCCATCTCATACCTTTTGTACTCTGCCTAGATAAGAATAACACTTTGCTCAAGTTTTTGGCATAGTTGGCTCCTTCTCACATTGACTATTTTGTTCAATGTAAGAGCCTTTTTTAGAGACTGATTTGAATAAACTTTAAAAAAATCTTTTAGACAACTGGGGAAGTTTGATATTAAAGCATTTTTAAGTTCCTTTCTCTGAGCACTTTAAATATCTCCTGCCAGTCTCTTCATGCTTATTTTTAAATGTCTTTGCCTTTTAAAGATATATTCTTAAATATTTATGACAAAGATAATATGATGTCTGAAATTTGCTTCAAGTTAATAGTGTGGAGTAGGAGAGTTGGTAGGAGTATAGAAGAAACAAACTGGCTATACATGTATAATAATTGTTGAAATTGGGTGAGGGATACATGAGAGTCCAGTAAACTGTTCGACTTTTGCTTATTAAAAATTCAGGTTTAAATTTAAACCTGAATATCTATCTATAATCTATCTATCTATCTATCTATCTATCTATCTATCTATCTATCTATCTAACTATCTATCTATCTACCTATCTATCTATCTATCATCTATCATCATCTATCTGTTGTCTGGATCACTACAGTAGCCTCCTAAGTGTTCTTCCCCTTTCCACTCTTGCACCTCTATGTTTCTACCACTGATCACTGCATGCAACATGTAGTAGGTTTTTAGACTTTTGCCAAATACCAGCACAAGGCAAGCTTATTCCATCTCACAGCTTCAACTGTACACATATGTAGTCAGTAGAATAAGATTCCACCCAACAGTCCAACATGGAGGAGAAGCAAACTAAACACCAATAAATAAGAAGAGAGTTATGGGAATATTCAGACAATGCAGCCTGGAAGTCAGTCACCTGTTCATAGCTTCAGGGCACATCAACTAGGACTCTGGATCCTTCTATGTAAATCCTAACAAGGATTTATGTAACAAGACAAATGTAACACAGTATTATGTTTCCAAAGAAAGAGGGTCATTCTCTTGTCCAGGGTTTCCAAGTCTCAATTATGAGTTGGAGATGATTTGTAAGGAGGAGTCTCCCAGTCAAGGGCATAAACTGATGACTGGCAAGCTATATCTGACACACAGACAGGTTTCTTTGAATCCATGGTGTTATACAAAATTTTTAGTTAAATGCCAACATTCAAAATCTAGGGCACATCACATAAAAATCTTGACATTCTGCTTCTCTTTAAAATTTTGGAAATTTGGTAATTCTTATTTGTAGTTAAGTGACTTCTCCTCCAGATGGGGCAGGTGCCCCCCAACCCCAGTTTGACACAATCCCCACCAGTTCTGCTTTATGTGCACCTTTTTTAAAATGTGAAACGTATGTTTGTTATAGGTTGGTGGATGGTGCTGAGCTCCAAATGCTTCCTTTAATTTCACTTAGTTTAAACTGCCCTTGAGTTTTTCAATACTCATAAAACCAGTGAAGTTGTGATGATGATTCAGAAGACACCAGGCTTAGTGTATTCATAGATTGGTTTTAGAAAAGCTACTTTAGAGTATAAACAAGACATAGAAATAAAAGCCATGAATGGAACCTGTGCCCATGAGTATAAATGGATTAGTCTTTGTTTGAAGACTTTCTTCTCTTCTTGTCTCTCAGAGACTCTGTGTGTGTCCATGCATGCATGCATGTGTGTGTGTGTATCTTGGGGGTGGGGTGAAGGTACACAGACCTGTATGGATTCTGCGGTGGGCTTTCAGGTGAGAGCTTTTGGTGTATACTTTGCTGCATCCAGCAAAGTCACATTGGTGAATCCGTCTTCTCTTCAAGTCAAGGGACTCTTCTCCCTGCATTTGGGTCATTGCTGTCGATCTGAGAAAATAGGGAGAGAGAGAGAGAGAGTGCCAAAGAATTATTTTAAAGTGAAGGCTAAATAAATGGACATACTTTCAGTGAGGCCACCTTATACATGCATTTAATTTATGCAAATTTAACACGAGGTCCTTAAAAGAAGAAATAATTGGAAGAGTACCAGCATTTCCCTCAACTAGCCCACTCTGCTCAGTAAGTGTAGGTTCCAGGAGGTGGCAATGTTTCTTTGGGTAGTTTCTGTTTCCAAACAGTGTGAGCATTTCACTCTAATAAGTCTCATTCTTGTGTTTAAAGAAATGTATTTTTCATACAACATGGTTGCTAAAAAGTACAATTAAAATAAATTTAAAAATAAAATTGCAGAGACAAATATTAAAAAAAATAAAACACAAGCCAACTACTTTATTAGTTCCAACACTGGAAGACAAGGCTGCTTTAAACTTACAGAAAGAAAACAGTACACAACTATACTTTACAGAAAATTTGAAGATTTTCAAGGGTAAAATTGATGATCTACAATTAGAACATAACTCTGCAATAATATGCATGTTTATGTACATGTATGCACACACACTCATACCTTTGCTAGGAAGCCAGTTTTCCTATATTCTGTTGTCCTCAAGTTCTTACTATTGTACCTGAGAATTTCTTCCACTTCCACCACAGACACACATGTATATACACAGAAAGGGACTTGAAGACAAAAGTACTCACTCTTGCTGTAGTCCCTGTAAGGCCAAGGATCCACTCTCATTTGCACTTTCCTCACTATCACTTGGGATTTCCAGTGGAGACATGGAGGTGGGGTCAACTTTCACTAAAAGCAAAGAAAAAGAGAAATGTGGGCTAAAATATATGTGCCTGTGTTATCATTTTCAGGATTCACACTTTGGCACACAATGAGAAGTAGCAGAAAAAGAAATAAAGAAAAGGCAAAGATGAAAGAAATGTACTTGTATAAAAGGAAGAGAAGAATATTTAAAATATTTAGCATAGCTGGAAACAGAAATTCCTTTGAGGGAAAGGTAGTAAAGAGCATTTTTGTACCACTAGAATAAGCTCCTCTAAGACAGTGAGTGAGATAGGATACTGGTTATGATTCAACCCTCTATCTCTAGCCCCCAGAACAGGGATTACCTGACTAGGTTCAATGTGTGTTTGTTGAATCAAAGTCTCTGAATAGTTTCCTTGCTATCCTAACATAAATGACTAGTCTCACTCCAGAGATAAGAACACATTCTTTTGCTTTCATGCTCTTAAATGAAAACAAGCCAATGAGATGAAACACATATCTAGTACCTAGTCGGTATTTGATAAATGTTATATCCTTACTTTCTCCTTATGTTGGGAGAAGCCCTTAAATATCTATCACCAATTACTTACATTTATGACACCAAACAAAACTCAATACTGTGGTCAGCAGTCTCCTAGATCTAGTGAAGGCTTCAAAACTTCTGTATAGAATAAACTTAAGGGTAGTAATAAGGTTGAATAGGAAGGACCTGGCTAGTGCAGTCATCTCTATAATTGACTGTGCATCATTCACTAAAAAGTTTAAAGCATGCATCTCAATATATTTGTGTCTGCATGTGTGTGTGTGTGTGTGTGTGTGTGTGTGATATAGATGTACTAGTATATTAAAAATTTTGTGTACATTACAAAAATAAAAAGTAACATATAAGAGGCAAGAAACTGCAGATATGAATTTTGATACTTTCTTCTTATGCTCTAGTTGTTTTGTGCACCTCCCTCGTTCAAGATGTAAGCATACCATTTTGAAGACCATTGGGATAATGGTCTTAGCTTAGCTTGAAACTACACAAAACACTTTTAAAATTTATTGTTTATTTAGACTGGCTCTGGTGGACTGATAGATATTATGGTGGAATTCAAAGACCTTTCAGATCTGAAAGATGAGAAGCCTGCTGTGGTGCCACTCTGAAGGCATTCCATCAACATGCATCATCTACCAATGAAACTCCTGTGCAAGAAGATTGAGAAGCCGAACCTCAAATTGCGGCAGTGAAACCTAAAGCTACAAGGAGCCTGGAATGTGGGCCTGTCAGAAACTAAAAATGGAGATGTGTCTGAAGAAAGAGTAGAAAGTGGAAAAGTTAAAAAATCCTTAAAACAATCTATGAGAGTAGGCTTATCAGAAGCCCAAAATGGAGATTGATCTGAAGACAACAGTGGGAAGTGGAAAAGTTAAAAAATCCTTAAAGCAGTCTATGAGTAAGGGCTTATCAGAAGCCCAAAATGGAGATAGATCTAAAGAAAAAAGTGGAAAATGTAGAAGTTAAAAAATACCCTCCAAGAAATCTACTGTATTAACCAATGGGGAAGCAGTGGTGCAGTCTCCCAATTCAGAGAAGAAGGAGGGGAAGACGAAAAAGAAGAAGAAGGAAGAAGGAAGGAGGAGGAGGAGGGGGAGGAGAAGAAGAAGAAGAAGGAGGGGAAGAGGAAGAAGGAGGGGAAGAAGAAGGAGAGGAAGAGGAAGAGGAAAAAGATGATGGAGGAGGAGGAGGAGGATCAGGATGAGGAGAAACAGGAAGAACAGGAGAGGAAGGAGAAGGATAAAGAGAAGAGGAGGAGGAGGAGGAAGAGGAGAAGGAGGAGGAGAATAAGACAGAGAAGAATAAGATGGAGGAGGAGAAAGAGGAGGAGGAGGAGGAGGAGAAGGAGAAGGAGGAGAAGAGAAAAATAGTGGATGATCGTGGGCCTGATACCAAAAAAAGCAAAAACTGAAGACAAAGGGGAATCTGAAGAAGGTGCCCAGGCTCTGGAAGAAACAGAAACCAGTGTGGAGAAGCCAAACGATGGAGAAGAGGTCAGTGAAATATCCATACTGCCCCTGGGACTGACAGGAACTTTTGAGGATACTTCATTTGCTTCCCTATCTAATCTTGTCAATGAGAGCACACTGAAGGCAATAAAAGAAATGGGCTTTACGAATATGATTGAAATTCAACATAAAAGTATCAAACCACTTCTGGAAGGCAGGGATCTTCTTGTAGCTGCAAAAACAGGCAGCAGCAAAATCCTGGCCTTTATCATCCCTGCAGTTGAACTCACTGTCAAGTTAAAGTTTATGCCCAGGAATGGAAGAGGAGTTCTTATTCTCTCACCTACTAGGGAACTTGCCATGAAGACTTTTGGTATTCTTAAAGAGCTAATGACACACCATGTTCACACATATGGATTAATAATGGGTGGCAGTAATAGATCCGCCAAAGCACAGAAACTTGCTAATGGGATCAACCTCATTGTGGCTACACCGGACTGTCTCCTGGACCATATGCAGAATACTCCAGGATTTACGTATAAAAACCTACAGTGTCTGGTTATTGATGGGGCTGATCGTATCTTGGATGTTGGGTTTGAAGATGAATTAAACAAATTATTAAACTTCTGCCAACAAGCAAACAGACCATGCTCTTTTCTACCACACAAACTCGAAAAGATGAAGACCTGGCAAGGATTTCTCTGAAAAAGGAGCCATTGTATGTTGGTGTTGAGGATGATAAAGCTAATGCAACAGTGGATGGTCTTGAGCAGGGATATGTTGTTTGCCCTTCTGAAAAAGAGATTCCTCCTGCTCTTTACATTCCTTAAGCAGAACCAGAAGAAGGAACTAGGTCTTCATCTTGTATGTCCGTGAAGTACCACTACGAGTAGCTAAACTACATCAATTTGTTTGTCTTGGCCATTCATGGAAGGCAGAAGCAAAATAAGTGTATGACCACATTCTTTCAGTTTTGCAATGCAGATATGGAGATATTGTTGTACAGAGATGTGGCAGCTAGAGGGCTGGATACTCTTGAGGTCGGCTGGATTGTTCAGTATTGACCCTCCAGATGACCCCAAGAAATACATTCATCGTGTGGGAAGAACAGCCAGAGGCCTAAATTGAAGGGGGCAAGCTTTGCTCATTTTGCACCCAGAAGAATTGGGTTTCCTTCATTACTTGAAACAGTCCAAGGTTCCATTAAGTGAATTTGAGTTTCCCTGGTCCAAAATTTCTGATATTCAGTCTCAGCTTGAAAAATTGATTGAAAAGAACTACTTGCTTTATAAGTCAGCCCAGGAAGCATATAAAATCATACATTCAAGCATATGATTCCCATTCTCTGAAACAGATCTTTAATGTTAATAACTTAAATTTGCCTCAAGTTGCTCTGTCATTTGGTTTCAATGTTCCTCTTTTTATTGATCTGAACATGAACAGCAATGAAGGCAAGCTTAAAAAGAGAGGAGGTAGCAGTGGATTGGGCTACCAGAAAATGAAATCGAGAAGTCCAAAATCTTCAAACACATCAGCAAGAAATCTTCTGACAGGAGGCAGCTGTCTCACTGAAGACACGCCTTCCTTTCATCTTCAAGAGCTTGTCCTGAAATGAAATGTTCTTCTAACAAATAAATTTTTTACTTTAGGATTTGGACTGATCTAACAAGTATAAATTGACTTGTTGCAAGCACTGGGCATTGAGCAACTCCTTTTTACTTGGGGTTATAAAACAGTTCAATTTTTCTTGATGTCCCAAGGACAAAGCAAGGGATCTTTTTGGTCTTTGTTGTGATTATGGTTTTCCCCTCTCATTTGTCATTGTTTTTCATCCTTTTTTGTAACTTTTCTTCCTGGTATCTGAAGGTTTCTGCAGCATGTATCGCTACACTAACCTGCTGTAAAAAGCAGATGAACTAGTATACTGGACAGGAGATCATGGTGGTGGTGACAATGCAGAAAATTGTCTCGGTTTATTTTTTTGGTTTTTGTTGTTTCTTGCATATTAATGGTAGTTCTTGACCCCTCGTGAAAATGCTGCCACGTAAAAAGGCAAAGAACTTTTGGAAATACCTAATAAGCACCTTCAATTAAAGGTGGCATCGACTTTTATATATACCAGATTTTAAAATAATGAGCCTTTCCCAATTTTGTTTTAAGAGCAAGAAATATCAGTTGTTATTATTTGAATAAAATGCCCCTGGCAGTTCTATTTGGAACAGGGAGAGATCTCAGACTTCTGAACCTTATTTACACCAGTATAAGTGCAATAGTCACCTATTCTCCATGTGGTAATTTAGCAAAGACCTTTAACAAAAATAGGGTCCTCATTCAGATATGTTTTAGGTGGTTTGGATTTTTGTGAGCCCTTTCAACTCTGCAAAACATTTTTGGGGGGCGGGATTGCCTCTTTCCAATCTATGAAACAAAAATTTACAGAGAAATTGAAAATAAACATAGGTCAAAAAGAGCAGAGGTTAAGTCAGATGTGAGTTTTTTTGTTGTTATAGGAGCTCTTGATTTATGTTTTATGTGTTTTATGTTTTAGTTCTAGTGTGTCTCATAACTACAAACGGTTATTACATTTTGTAGCAATTTAAAACCAAAGTCAATAGCATCACTTTGCTATTGTGCCAGTTAATATTTATATATTATTGTTTAATATAAGTGCACTGAGAACATCAAATGTAGAGAAAACAGTCTGATAAATAGCACTCCAGAAGGGAAAGAAAGGAATGATATTCTGCAACTGGGTTCAATCACTGTCTTTGTAGCTAGACCTGTCCTGGGTTTCAGACTTTGATTGTCAGACTCTCGACATTTAATAACTGTTTCTTTATCCATAACTTGTTTTTATTTTTTGTTTCAGAAATAATAATGTTTCAGAAAATACACAAAAACAAAGGGAAGAATATTTAATCACTGAACAGAAATAAAGATGGAATATTTTGTTATATAAAACATAACAAACAAACAAAAAGCCCCTTCAAACCATCCCTTGGTGCTATCACTGTCTTGGTATCAGTAAATCCTCACACAGGGAATTTTATTTTCCCATTTATTTTTTTGTTTGACTCTCTCTCCCAAGAATTGATAATCATATTTTAATTAATTTCCTTAAAAGATCTCAAAAACAAGATTGTAATGAATACTTATCATTACCAAAATTAACCACTAGTCATTGATGACATTTTTATTCAAAAAAACACTGCAGAGTCACAGCAACTTGATAATTAATATGTTGTTTTCCAGTATCCTACATTTGGTAGTGGAATGATCACAAGGTATTTAATTTCAAAGGTTGAAAACTCTTAGAAAGTTTATATACATATAAACATGATAAATCTCTTCCAATCCCCCTAGGCCCCTCTCCTCTGAGATCTATCAGTCCGCTCCATGTGTCCATGCCTCTGGTCTTATTTTGTTTATCAGTTTATTTTCTCATTAGATTCCATATATAAGTGAGGCCACATGGATTTGTCTTTCAGAGATTATATATATATAAAATCTGAAATCTGGTTCCAAGTCATTTCCACCTCCATCTCTCTCCTTTGGTCTTTGTAGTTCATGCTAAACATTTATCAGCTCCTCAATGATATGAATTTGGGTCCTCACACCATCCTAATCTCTTTCCTCTAATTATACTCCAATTTTCCAACATCCTTCCTAAGGCCTAACATTCAAAATTGATTGGAATGCTACAGACATGGTGAAGCAAAATATCTTGAAACACTTCAAGAAGCCATATATTTTTCTTTGATCATTCCCAATTACAAACTAAGGAGGATATGCTTCCAGCTGAGGAACTGGGTGGTTGGGGGAATAGTGGTGAAAGGGAGACTTACTTTATACCTTTCTGAATTATGAACTTATTTAAAAAATTACAAAGGAAAGATTAAGCATATGAAATTCCTCCTGGACAAATTTCAAGTCTGTTCATCAAATTATTAGTTGCAAGAGAACTACTATCTACCACTGCGTTGGGTTCTCTGAATATGCACAAAAAGAAATAAGATACAGTCTTGTCCTTGAGGAATTTATAATTCAATTAGGAAGAATGCCCATATACTTGTGATACAGGTGAGTAAAAAAGTAAAATGGAGGGTGACAGATGCTATACGAAGAGTAACACAGGGAAAATGTCAATATTTCAAAGACTTTTACCTGCAGGGAAGAAAAAAAAGTACAGTGTTAAGAAAGGCAGGAGCTAAGTCTGGTAAGTATGTTAGGCTAGAAACATTAGCAACTTGTCCACAAAAGCATTCTAATGTCACAGAATAAAAGAATAAAAACACTTTCCTTGAAAATCCCAAGCCTTAGTAAGCTTAATACTATTTCTGAAGTTTGTGTTTTATCTTAAAATGTTATTCAAAATTTACAGTTTCTCTTTAATGAAACATATTTTTAAAATATAAAATGTTTTAAATTACTTATTCTCAAGTAATACATAGATTTCAGGAAGATACATTGCATTTCACTCAAGGACATGCATACTACAGTTTGATAAGCATAGGCTAAACAAAAGAGAGTCACTGTACATTCTTAAGCATTGAAAAGACATGATAAATTTCTTCCAGTCCTCCCCCAACCCCCTCCACTCTGAGATCTGTTAGACTGTTCCATGTATCCATGACTCTGGTCCTATTTTGTTCATCAGTTTATTTGTTTATTAGATTCCACATATAAGTGAGATCATATGGCATTTGTCTTTCTCTTACTGGCTTATTTCACTTAGCATAATAATCTCCAGGTTCATTCATGCTGTTGCAAACAATTGTGGTGAAGGTTGCGGGAGCTGGGTGGAGAGGGGTAAAGGGGATAAAATGTGGTACATCTGTAATAGCGTCAAAAATAAAAAACAAAAACAAAATAAATGAACAAGCAAAACAAACAAAAAAAAGAAAAGGTATGATAAAAACAGTTTATGAAAGATTGAAGTTGTGTGCAAGAATAATTAAAGTGGATGAAAAGGGATAGGAGACAGGACAACTCAAAAAGAGATTGAAGGTGAGGCTCAGGAAAGGGGCACAGTGACACTCACCTGATCCAGCATTTTTGCCATCTCCTCCAATGAGTGGGACTGTAATGGCTGCAGGGCTCCCATCTGCAGGCAAAGTAGTATACACCATAGGCAGCGACTGCACCACTACTGGGATGGTTTTCAGGCCACCCATTTTATTTGGCAGACTGACTGAAGGGATGGTGTGAATCACATGCAAAATCTGCTGGCCACAGGTGCCCTGAGAGGAGGCCAGAATAGAGCCTGGAGTCAGAACTGTAGGGATGTTTGCTAAACTGCCTGTGTCAGAGGTTGAAGAGGACACTACAGGAGTCTGGGGTACAGGCTGTGGCTTGGGAGGACGTACTGGAGCTTGCAGCATGCTGGCAGGCTGGAGAGGAGCCTTGGGCTTGTGAAAGGAGAGGTCGACTGGTTCCACCTGGGGCAGGTTGAACTCATTAGCCAGAAGTTCTTCTGGGGGCTCAATCTTGATGTCATTAAACAGTGCTGGGTTCTCCATGGGGTTGGCAGCCAGAAGTGGTAGAGATGTCATACTACCTCTGTCTGCTGTCTTTGGAGGATCTCTGATCTGAACAGATCCAGTCACCTAAAATAAATTAATAAACAAATGAGAGATGCAAAAACAGTCAGTGCTAGTGCCCTGAAAAAAAGACATGTAAGCAATAAAAGGAAGAAATCTCCAGTCTCTTCTCATGGACAGAATATATACGAAGTTGAAAGAAGTGAGGCAGGAGTACACTAAGGAGGAAAAAGTAAGAAAAACTTTACTGAACATCAATACTAGGCACTATACCAGGCAACTGATACAAATTGTTTTGTTTGATGTTTGCAATAATTATGCAAGATTAATTGAAATCAACACTTTATATGTATCCACTATAAATACTGTGCTAAGCCCAGTGAGGGCGCACATGAATAGGGTATAGCCACAAAGTGCATACTAATATACTAAGTATAATGATTTAATTATGTGAGTAGTCTGTAAGTCATAACATAACAAGTGATGCAACAGACATATAAGAGAGGTGTTTTAGAATAACAAAGTTGGATGATTTATTCTGTTTAGGATCAGGGAAGGCTTCAAGGAGGAACAGAATTTTAGATTGGTCTTAGATGGGCATTCTCTAGGCAAAGAATGGGTAAGAAGGACATTCTGTCTGCAGAGACTTAACAACAAACATGCTTAGGAAATACTGATGCAGTACAGTCAGTTGTATTTTTAAATCATTTTATTATTCTATTACAGTTGTCTCAATTTCCCCCCTTGCCCTCCTCTACCCATTCCATCCCCTCACTCCCATAGTCAATTCTCACACTGTTGTCCATGTCCGTCATTCATACATGTTCTTTGTCTAGTCCCTTCCCCTTCTTTCCGCAATTGTCCTCCTCCCCTGCCCCTCTGGTCACTGTCAGTCTGCTCCATTTTCCCATACCTGTGGTTCTATTTTGTTTGTTAGTTTATTTTGCTCATTAGATTCCACTTGTAGGTATTATATGCAAAACTGAACTGTGCAACTTTGCAAATTAAACTGTGCAAATTAAAAAAATACTGATTGAATGAGAACTTCATAGGTAATATATCAAACAACTTAAAACTTCAACCTAATTAAAAACTTTCTAAAAATTCCACAAATTCTCCCTTGCTGGTGTGGCTCAGTGGATTGAGCACTGGCTTGTGAACTGAAGGGTCCCTGGTTTGATTCCCAGTCAGGGCACATGCCTGGGTTGTGGGCTAGTTCCCCAGTAAGGGCTGGGCGAGAGGCAACCACACACTGATGTTTTTCTCCCTCTTTTTCTCCCTCCCTTCGCCTCTCTCAATCAATCAATCAATCAATCAATCAATAAGGTACCTAAGGTTCCTAGGTACCTTATTATTATTATTTTTGCAAAATAAGTGGAATTGTTTTCTTAATTTCTCTTCTGATAGTTCATCGTTGGTGTGCAAAAAAAACCCTACCAATTTCTGAATATTAATTTTGTATCCTGTTACTTTGCTGAATTCATTTATTAGATCTAGTAGTTTTTTGGTGGAGTATTTAGGGTTTTCTATGTACATTATCATGTCATCTGTGAATAATGACAGTTTTACTTCCTCCTTTCCAATTTCTATGCCTTTTCTTTCTTCTTCTTGTCTGAGTGCTGTGGCTATTACATCCAGCACTAGGTTGAATAAGAATGTTGAAAGTGGACATCCATATCGTGTTCTTGATCTTAAGGGAAATGCTTTTAGTTTTTGCTCATCGAGTATGATGTTAGCTGTGAATTTGTCATATATGCTCTTTATTATTTTGAGGTATGATCTCTTTATTACCATTTTGCTGAGAGTTTCTTTTATCATAAATGGGTGCAGGATTTTATCAAATGCTTTTTCTCCATCTATTGATATGATCATGATTTTATCCTTCATTTGATTTGTGTTATATCACACTTATTTATTTTTGAAGATTGTACCAAACATGCATCCCCAGAATAAATCCGACTTGATTATGGTGTATAATTTTTTAAATTTACTGCTGGATCCAGTTTGCCAATATTTCATTGAGGGTTTTAGCATCTATGTTCATCAAGAATATTGCCTATATTTTTATTTGTTTTTAGTGTCTTTATGTGGTTTTGGAATTAGGATAATGCTGGCCTCATAAAGAGAGCTTGGAAGTCGTCCCTCCTCTTGAATTTTTTGGAATAGTTTGAAAAGGATAGTTATTAGTTCCTTCTTGAATGTTTGGTAAAATTCACCTGTGAATTTTAAAAGTCCAGTCCAGGATTTACTTTTTGGGAGTATTTTTTTTATTATGCTTCAATTTCATTAGTTGTAATCTGTCGATTCAGGTGTTCTGCTTATTCTTGATTCAGTTTTGGAACATCGTATGGTTCTAGGGATTTATCCATTTTCCCCAGATTGCCCAATTTGTTGGCATATTTTCTTGCAATCTTTTGTATTTCTGTGGTGTCAGTTGTTACTTCTCCTCTTTTACTTCTGATTTTATTTATTTGGGTCCCTCATTTTTTTTCTTGATGAGTCTGGTTTGCCCTGGCTGGTGTGGCTCAGTGGATTGAGTGCCAGCCCGTGAAACCAAAAGGTTGATGAGTCTGGTTAGAGGTTCACCATATTTTTTCATCTTTTCAAAGAACTGGCTCTTGGTTTCATTGATCTTTCATATTTTTTTTTAGTTTCTCTGTCATTTATTTATACTCTGATCTTTATTATTTCCTTTCTTCTACTTACTCTGGGCTTTTTTATTCCTAGCTCTTTTGAGTTTATGGTTAGAGTATTTATTTGAAATTTTTCTTGCTTCTTGATTTAGGCCTGTAATGCTAAAAATTTCCCTCTCAGGATTTATTTCACTGTGTCCCATATATTTTGGGTTGTTTTGTGTTCATTTTCATTTGTTTCCAGGTAACTTTTGATTTCTTCTTTGATCTCTTTGTTAACCCATTCATTATTTCGTAACATGCTATTTAGCCTCCATGTGTATTAATACTCTTCATTTTTTTCAATTGAAGTTGATTTCTAGTTTCATACCATTGTAGTCAGAGAAGAGCCTTGATATAATTTTTATCTTTTTAAATTTATTAAGGCTTCTTTTGTGTTAACATGCAGTCTATCTCTTTGAGAATGTTCCATGTGCACTTGAGATGGATATATACTCTGCTGTTTTGGAATGAAATGTTCCATAAATATCAATTAAATCCCTCTGATCCAGAATGCCACTTAAGGTTGCTCTTTCCTTGTTGATTTTTTTTTTATCTAGAAGGTCTATCCATTGATGTGGATAGAGTATTTAAATCTCCTAATATGAGTGTATTGCTTTTGACCTCTCCTTTAAAGTCCACCAAGGTTTTCTGTATATATTTAGGTGCTCCTATATTGGATGCATATATGTTTACACGAGTTATATCCTCTTGTTTGATTGATCTCTTTAATAATATTATATAGTGACCTTTTTAGTCTCTTGTTATGACCTTTTAATTTATTTTTCTGTTATAAGTATCACTGCCTTAGCTCTTTTGTTTTTCATTCCCGTTTGCATAGAAATTTTTTTTCCATCCTTTCACTTTCAGCCTTTAGAAAAGCCCTGGGAAATGGAGGGTCAGGAAAATCCATTGTTTAAAAATAGCCTTAATTTACAGCTTGAAAGAAGGAAGGCAAGACTAGGGAGAAAATGGAATAATGATATGTACTCCAAACAGCACGCTAGGTGTAAAGGAGAGAAAGGGGCATTGCCATGGTATGAAGATGAAGCCCAGGCTACTCCCAAAAAGAAACAGGAAGACTGCTTTTGTACAAATCTCTCTTCTAGCTTCACTCTGAATTTAGATTAATCATTTTCATTCCTGGACACACATGTATGCACATACACACATATATATGCACATTCATTGTTTAAGACAAAAGTCAATTTAACCCTCTAAAACTACAACACTTCTCTAACAAGGACATCAAGTGTTTGGGTATTAGTGAGAAGAGATGGAGTTGGATATTACTAGAAAGTGTTATACAATCTAAAGCTAGAGTAACTTAAAATCTTACACCACCACCATCTCAATAGCATCAAGAAATGGAGTTCTATAAAACAAAAGAATTTATCAATTTGCACAAAGTAATAAACTAGGCAATTTTAAGGGACTGGGAGAAATTGTCAGGCATAGTAGCAGCCAGGTCCAGGAAAAATGAGGTTAGAGATGTACATATATATGTATGTGTGTATGTGTGTGTATATATGTATGCATGTAAATGTGTGCATGTATTCATTCATTAGGTATTTAATTAGTACCTACCATAAAAATATGGAAATAATATTGCCTTCCACAAAACTATGGGAAATATGAAAAATAATAAGATGAAACACTTTTTATTCTTCAAAGCATCTAAAATTGTTCTTAGGTGGTGCGTGGATAAGTTATTTTATTGAAATTGTTATATACAAGGTCTGTCCAGAAGGTATTCAGCCACGTACTATGAAAAAAAAGAGATATTTATTGAAGAAGATACAAGAAACGAGAAACGTACACAGACAATGATGCCTTAGTCCCCTTCAAAGTAGGCACCTTGGGACCTCACACAGTTCTCCTAATTGCCATCAGCTGCCCTGTTGTATTTTCCTGAATTTCATCAATGGTCTGAAATCTCTTTCCTTTCAAAGGTGATTTTAGTTTTGAGAAAAGCCAGAAGTTGCAGGGTGCCAAATTTGGGCTGTAGAAGGGCTGAGTCACCTGAATGATTCAATGTTGCACCAAAAATCTCTGCACAAGACATGATGTATGAGTGGGCATGTTGTCATGATGAAGCTGCCAATCACCAGTTGCCCATAGCTACAGTTTTCTGAATCATGCAAATAGTTTTCACAGAGGAATGTTCACACTTAATCCAAAACTTGATGCAGATTTGTTGCTCTACTCATTCAGTCATTTTGAATGCCATGGTCACACAGTACACATGCTCACTCAATGGCATCTACCACTAGTACAGTGGAGCTGTCATTGTTCACACATGTGCACTACAGTCTACTTTCCTTGGTTGCCAGGTTACATCAATGTCACACAAACCATTCTCATTATATTAACAATGGTTGCAATTTTTATGGA